ACATCAAAAACATTCGTCAACACTGCAAAGTGGTTGTGAATTTGTTTTGTAATATTAACAACTTTTCTTCTTTGTAGTCTCGATAACATTTTTAAAATTAGTAAAATATAAAATAGAATGACAGTGGTAGAAAATACATTAACCTATCATTTTTTAGAACCACCAAAGACATTACATGGACCTGTCTTTAAATTAGGCATATAAAAACGTATGCCTAAGGCGATTTCGAATCAAATACCATATATCACTAAAAAAAACCCCTAAAGTCTAAATAAGTAAAAAGATGAAAAGTAGACACGAATATTCTGAAATTCAAAAGCAGCGGCTATTTGCCGCATCACATGAATTATTGTTTCAAACCCCATCTTCCCTATGACTTGGAATATTCATCTTGTCCGAAGGATGCTGACTAGGATTCTTGGCTATCCAATCCTAGGATGACAACAATGCAACTGAGTCGCCTGCTTCGAATCAAGTAAAGCTTGACATGTCAGCAAGATATTGACCAATTATGGCCTCAAGTGGGAACCTTTATAGTGACCATTTTATGGTCCTGCATAGAAGTATATTCTTATTTTGCGAATTTTTAGATCTTGAAAACCCATAATTTCTCATGTACCCACAAGGGAGATATATAATAAGTTTTTCAAAATATCCCAAAAATCCTATTTTGTGGATGGTCGTGTTTTTATTTATTTATTTATTATTATTATTATTATTATTATTATTATTATTAATTTTAACGTAATTGTGATGAATGCTTACGGGATAATACACAATACACATTTTAGTGATTAGGTGTTTGGGATTATTTTTTTAAAACAACTTATGTTTTTCTATAAAAATTATATTAATTAGTTATTCCATATTAAAATGGAGTTTTAAATTTTTTGAATTAATTTATCCGGTAGTCAAACTTAATAAATTTATAAGTTGTTTGTTACCATAATTTCTTATAAATATAAAAGACAAAAAAAAACATCGTTATATGTCATTGCTTTATTTTATTTTTTACATATAATATTTTTTATAATTTATAATTACTCGTTTTAAAAGAATATATATATGAATAACATTTTTTTTTTTTTATTATTAGCCGAAGAAAAGTTTTTAATGAAAGATGAATTACGTCGTGCAATGATTTTATGACAAACAAAAAGGTTTATAATTAAAATTGTGTCATCTTCTATATAATGCTAAAGATTTACTATAGGCATCGTAAATTATGTCATCGCTTAAGAAAATTCACCACATAAAATAATACATATTTTAATGTTTATAATGAAACCAAAGTAAAAAACACGGGCTATAGTTTTTATATTGTCCGTCGTCTTGAAATAAAATATTTTTGTTTTATTATTTTTAGCCTTCCATCAATATCCCTTCGTTCGTTCGACCGGTTCGAAACACTATCTCGCGCTGAATTTCCTAATGAAAAACAATCAACCATCAATTTAGGGTTACACCTCCACCCCATCGCTGCTCACATGGCCTCACAAAATCGAGTGCATCGTTTTTGTGCCCTAGTTGAAACCGAAACCTATAGTTAGTCGATAACATAGAAGATTTCAATTTAAGGAAGAAGATAATAAAATATTAAGGAAATGTCGTTAAAATGGTATGATGTTAAGCGAAGAGACCTTCGTTGATGCGGGATCAACGACTCTGATGATGTTGAGAAAGATAGAAAACATATGTGTGGGTCTCATAACTTATGCTTCTACAAAACCAGGGTTTAAACTGTTGTAAATATTTCAATAAGTGGATGGAGAAATGGTCGAATGTTCATCACCTAACTCAAGGTTCGACCGGGGTTTAAAATTTAAGATGAACACGTATAGTCATCTTCCAATTTTTACTAGAGGGCTTCTTCGAGGAGCGTATTAGAGCATATGGGAAATTATGAATCAAATTTTCATTGGCCACTATCCTCTATACATGTCTTCTCCTCATTTTGTCAAGTAATTTACATTCCCTTTTTTTTTTATCAAATTTCAAGATTTGTTGAATTTTTTTAACGTTTTTTTAGAAATGAGGCATTTGTTGCATTCTCTTGTGTAAAATTTATAGTATTTTCAGTTAACTTTATGAATCCATAAATTGATTAATTGGGGATTACAATAGTTGATGTGTTCTATTACATTTTGCTCGAATTTGATAATTGGTCTTGTTATATATGTCTCAACATTCTATGATAATTCTTCTTGTTAGATCTTTCAAAATTGTATTGTAAAATTTTATTTGCTTTCAATCTACCTCGAATTTATGATATGATTGATTTTGAATTAGTTTCTATAAGAGATATCTTCGGATACACTTGAGAGAATGTTGGTGTGTATAGAAGCATAAAATTTGAGAAACCAAATCCATGAGAGGAAGCATAACAATCCACCTCCAATTTCTACAACTACAACAACCACAGTCTCGCTCAACGTTGATATTTCTGGAATCATGTCATAGGTCTTGGACCAAATGTAGGACCCTACCAAACATTCTTGTCGTTGGTGGGTGCATGATAGTTGGGGTGCAAAGTTTTCCTTGGATGTGTTGTAGGCTTACCCTCTTAGGGATGTGTAATGGGTTGAACTTTTCATATAAATAGGAAGTGAGATGCTCTCATTTATGTAAACATGAGAGATTTAGTCCAGTGAGAGAAATATTGCATGACCACTTTCTAATAATCTTTCTTGACTAATGAGAGTTGAAACCTAATTATTTACATCTAATGTTCTTCAATATTGTTTGATTCATATAA